CGAAATCGAAAGGCGTAATTTGGGGAGGAACTGTAACGTAAAACGTCAACGCTAATTCTGTACCTCAGAACCAGACTTCAGGAGAGAGCAAAAACTAAAAAAGTTACCTAATTGCTTAATTACAAAGGTGTCATTTTAATTTACCTTCAAACTATTGTTTGTATTATTAACAAATACGGATCCTTTATTTATTGTTTGATTTTTTTTTACTAAATATATCCCATTTTGTAAAAAGTGGACTTATGTTATTGTGGCTCCACACAAAACCCTACGGTAGGACTTACTCTGGACTTGCGTTATTATGGCTCTACAAAAATCCCTCATAGGACTTACTTATCTAGGAAAAGGTGTTTAGAAATAAACTTCATGTGCTACTATTAAAAACATCTAATTATTATAAACAAACATAGATGAAAAACAAGCATTTAGTCAATGTTTTTCAATTAATTTTGAACATTATTGTCAAAGAGGTAAGGAGAAAAAAAATTATTCGAGAGCAGTCGAGCGGTCCTCAGGGAAGTTGCCTTCGTGTTCACCAAGTAGAAGGTTTTCAAAGAAAGATTTGTATTCTTTAGGGATCCATTGCATCAGGTTCATGAGGTCGTTGTACTATTTCATTGCTTATTTTCTTTTTGTGTGCCTGTATTTGTGGAATTGCCAATGGCATATTAATCCTTTCTTGCCTCCGATTTCTTTTCAGTTCAACACTTTTGAATGAATCTTCCTCAAAACTGGTTTTGTAGTATAGCGTACTGTCCCCTTTTCGAAGCTGTAACCACACTGCATTAGATATTAGAAATGGTTCGTTGTTTGGGTTCTTCTTCCTTGATATAAATGAGGCGTCTTTGCTCCTCGGAAGAGAAAATCAAAGAAGTCTTTAATGCACATCTGTCTGACAACAAATGGATTTTTTTTGAGCATGTCGCAATAAAGTTTGCCCACTCATTTGTAGTAAAAATTGTGTAGTTTTATTTGTTTTTTAGCTCTCTCTATTATGCTATGTTTTCTATCAACCTCCACGTGGGTGTGTCTGACCAATAAGAACTTGTGGTTGTCCAAGAGACACAAATACATAAAAACCATATTCATATTTCTTGTGCACTGCAGTGTTATCTGTCCAAATAGTCAGTACGTCAGTAGGCTGATTATTAGTATTTTATGCACCAACTTTTATCAGTTGTTGCATCATAATGTACTACTGAACGTCCAGAGTTTTCTTGAGTAAAAACTTTTGGTGTTTTTTAAGTCTGGTGTTAGAAGGCACTTTTGGAGATCTGACATAATAACTCTTGATCCTATGTTAGCACTTCTTTCAAGTTTATCTTTTTTCTTTAACTCATACCTTAATGAGGCATCGTCGAGGTGTTTATTTTTTTTAATTTCAGTTCATTGAGTAGTTCATCACAAACATCACATGTATCGTTGTTTGGTGAATGAAAAGACAAGTTGAAATCTTCATTAAAAATTTTAGAATAAATCCACTTTTTTTCTGGTTTAACTTGTTCTTTTTTACGCTCTTCCTCATACAATGCGTACATTGTAGGAATGTTCAATTGATTTCCCAAATATTTTCGTTGAGACCTTTCCTTGCTGTAGTGGCTTTCATATACAGGGAATTTTGAAATAGGATTTTTGATTCGTTGTAGTCTATCTATATGTATTTTATTACCTGGCATATGTTTTCGCCTAAGGTCTGTAGTTACCAATTGAGGTTGCACTGGCCTTTTTTATGGCTACTCTCATGAAAGTTTCTGAAATTGAATGTGTATTTAAGAAAAACATTTTGCAAATTACTTCGTCTTTTTTATGTAATTAAAAAAAATGAATGACTTTCAGATTTGTTCTTTGTTGTCCCGTCTTTCTGACGTTGCCTATTAACTGGCTTAGTTCTTATACAAGACAATACAAACTGCCGTTTTGAGTCCCAGTTTCTTTTAGCACTCCAATATTCAGAGTTTATTTTTAATCTGTCTTCTTCTGTAAACCTCTGGTTACATTTTATACGACACTTATCATAACAAGGTGGTTTTATTGATATATTTTTAACAACCATATTTTTTGTGTTAACATATTCCTTTCTAGCAAGTCTATTCTTCTTCCTTACATTTTTTTCCATTTTTCTTCATGTCTTACTCGTTTTTTGCCTTTTTCGTGACCCCCTAGGTTTGTATTGTCGGTTGAGTTTACCGAAAGTACAAGCTAAATATAGCCGCAAATGCCAAAAATATTTCGGTTTGGCAGTGTTGGCATGTTTTTATAATGCGTATGTTGTATGCTTCAAATATAAAGAGATAAAGCTTTTAAAAAGTACATTTTGATTATGCTATTTTATAAATTCTGCAATTTTTAATTTATATGAAACAATAACGAGTAGATATTTGTCTCTTTCGAGATTAATTATTACAAACATCTTTTGTAATCTGGCAACTGCTGATTTGACGATTGCCAAATCTATCCCATAATCTATCAAAGGGTACCTGCTAAAAAAATTTCTAATAATTAACTGCAATTAATCTCCAAAGAAACAAACATTTACTCATTGTTGTTATCAAAATTCATCTTATCATTATATATAAATCAAATCATAACATAATATAAACAAAATGTACTTTTCTAAAGCTTTGTCTCTTTATTTTAATGCATACAGCATCCACATTATAAAAACATGCCAACACTTTTACACCGAAATTGTTTGTTCCATGTTTGACATTTGCGGCTATAATCAGCTTGAACTTTCGGTAAACTCAACCGTATTGTCTTCTGTATCGAAGTCACTATAAGTTGAACTGCATTCACCACAGTGCTGTTCAAAAGCCTATGCCTACTTACCATGGCTGCAGTAGAATCACTGCTTGATGTAGATTTGTTTTCTGAAACTGCTCCAGGAGAGTACGAAAGATCATCTATGTCATTATCTGCAAGCATCTCAATTTGAAAACTAGACAACTCTCCATCTTCACAATTATTTTGAAAGTCAGTGGGAGGTACCGGTGCTGCAATGGTGCAGTTTGGACTTACGTTTTACAGGTTTCAAGCAAAACCTCAGAGCCATAATGTAGTAAGTGGAGTTACGTTTGTGTGGCTCTGATATGGGTAAGGACTTACGCTCTTATAACCTTGGCTAATTTGGAAAGTATAATTTTTAAAGGAGTTGCGTTATTATGGCACGATGTAGAATTAAATTTTACACACAAAACATCAAAAACCCGAAAATCACAGTTTTTGGACTTACGTTCGTCTGACTCTGAGGTACAGAATTGATCTACTCAATAACTTTTCTTATGAACTACATTCAATCCAGATAGAAATTTCTACAATGTAAATAAAAAAATGTGTTTTCAAAACAAATCTTTGTCGTTAACAAAATAAAATATATTTTCAATCTCTGGGCCATTTATATTATCATATATTTTTAAAAACACTGTTTTTACTCTTAGCCTAGGAGTCAGGGGAGGTTGAATATGCAATTTTATGTACCTTGACGATTTTATGTTTTTTGGTGCATAGATTCGATAGAACTTCAGTTATAACAAATTTCGAGAAAAATAATTAGAGTAAAGTGCCATAATATCGGATAGTTGCCTATTATCGGATAGTTCTGTTTTAAAGAAAGCTGCAATCTGATTAACAAGAAACCTATGTCCAGTTTAGCTTGGTGCTAAACCCAGTTCGCCGAATATTTTAGCGTCTCTAGTAAAACATAGAGGGCACTAGAGTAAGTTATCAGAATTTTCGATACAAACAAAACATCGAATCCATCGATGTTTTCCGATACATCGAATTCCAAACAAAAACAAAAGAAATGGGATAGTAGATCCAAGCAAGCAGCTGTTACTGCAGTTAATAACAAAGAAATGGGGTACTTGCGAGATTAAAAAATTTTAAAATACCCAACAGCACGTTGGAAGAGCCAATATGAGTCCACCAGTGTTTTCCAAAAAAATTGAAGCGGATTTGGTCGATTATTGCCTAGAAATAGATAGAAGGTTTACGGACTGTGATCTTCTGATATTCGAAGATTAGCCTTTCAGTTAGCTATTCAAAATAATTTAAAACATCAGTTTTCAACTAATCAGAACAAAGGAAGTTACAAATTGTTGCGTTCATTTTTAAAGAGGAATCCTGAACTAACGTTTAGGCGACTACAGGGTTTATCAACTGCCAGAATTAAAGGATTCGCAGAAGAAAACGTAAATATTTTTTAAGAAATTTTGGAACCTGCAATGAAGAAGGTGAAATTTAATTCCTGTCAAATCTATAACGTAGATGAGACAGGTATAACGTCTCTACAATCAAAGCATACCAAAATAATCACCTTAAAAGGTAAAAAGCAGGTAAGGGCCGTTACTTCTGCAGAAAGATGATCACTAGTGACTGTGATTACCTGTATGAATGCGACTGGTGGTGAAAAAAATATGAAGGCAGAATTGCTCAACAGTGCTCCACCAGGGACAATAGCTTTTACAACCTTCAAAAATCTGTATAAGATTTGTATGTGAAATTGATGATTTTTCCACAGATTGATTGGAGCAACTGTAGACAAAAAAAGAAAAATTTGAGAAAATATTTGAAGTGTAGAATATCTACGAAGAAGAAAATATTAAAACCTTTTACTAAGAGTCCATAAGTTTATTGGAAGATGACATAAAGAAATAACGAAAGACAAAATTCTAAATAAACCCAAATACTGTAATTCATACCATACGAGGTAAATTTTCTTTCTTGGAATGCTTTCTACAAATCTTCTATGATCATAATTTTATAGAGACAGATAATCACAAAAAATTCGAGTATATATGCCTCTTTTTTGTTCAATATTGTATATTAAAAGAAATGTCAACAATTCTACCCAACCCAACATAATTTTTAGCATAAATATGGACTTGATTTAAGGACTAAGGAAAAAGGATACTATATAATATAACTCTACTCGAAAGCATTTTCCGTCCAATTCAGAGATAATTCACTAAAAAGAACTAGTGATTCAAGACTATATCAATTTAATAACCATTCACTTGTAGTTCTGATGTCACTGTAGTTTCACCAGCTTTATTTGCAGCTCGGCATGTATAATTTCCCGCATGGGTGTAAGAGACAGAATCTATGGCAAGGAAAGACGTTCTTTTGCCAACTGCTGACACAGACACATCCGAAAAATCGCTTATAGGTACATTGTTCAGCAACCAGTCGATTTTAATAGGCATATCTCCTTCAAATGCAGTACACGTCACTTGAACAAACTGGCCTGAATGTATTGGAGTGTTACCGAAGTCGAAAGGGGTGATCTGCGGTGGAACTACAAAAAAAAATAAGATATTTGTTTGAAATATTGGTGGTTTCTTCCATCAATATTTTTATTAAGGACTGAAAAGTCCTAGAACCTAGTAAAAATTTTATATTCTTCAAGATTGGTATATAGGAGTAGGTTCCAATTGGTCTAAGGAAGAACCTTATTGAATTTGGGGTCGACAAATCAGAGGTCACTGAAATTATAGGATTGCATCATATCATATAGATGTGTACTATGACAAAAGCTGAATTAAACCGCGACCTTGAGCCCCCAAAAAACATGTACTTGCTTATGCTTAAGAAATAAAAAAAAATTATTCGATATATTCTTCAATAAGTGGCTTATAATCTGCCTGAATTCTTCAAAAGCTTTTGTAAAGTAGTTGTAAGCGTTTAGGAAAATATTTTAAAGCCATAAGCTATAACAAAGTATAATTTTTAAAGTATTGAAATGGTTAGAAAGCATGAAAGTTGCTTAAAGCATAAAGCTAATAAAACAGTTATGTAATAACCATTTACAAGCAACTCCGAAGAATATTTGGCAGTTCCTGCGTGATTTTTTGCAGAACAAGTATAATTTCCTGCATGGTGATACGCTATAGAATCTATCTCCAGAATAGACATTCTTTTGCCAATTGCAGTTGTAGTGATATCGGGAAAATTTGCCAAAGGTTCTGAATTCAACTCCCACTCGAACGTTACCGGCAAATCTCCTTCAGTTATAGTACAAACGACTTTAATCAACTGTCCTGTACGTAGTGCAAAACTTGGCAACTCGATAGGCATAATTTGGGGTGGAACTGAAAAGGTAGTTTACAAATTAGCCACAAAAAAATTCTAATAACCGTTAACATGTAGTTCTGTGCGGAACGTCGCGATTCCTGCTGTGTTCGTAGCGATGCAGGTGTAATTTCCTGCATGTTTGTACGTCACCGCCTCTATTTCCAACGAGGAAGTTCGTTTTCCAACAGGTGTTATTGATATTTCAGGGATATTGTGCACCATGTCGTTGTTTAACTCCCAATCTATCTTAATGGGTAGGTCTCCCTCTGTTACGGAACATGAGACTTGGACGTATTGGCCGGAATGGACTGGATTGTCTTCGAAATAGAACGGGGTAATTCTTGGAACCACTACAGAGAATTATGTGATGAGTTTACGTTAACAAGAATATAGATTTTTGTGATAATACATGAACAAATGTGATGAAGATTGAATATAACAAAATGTTTTCTTTTTTCTACGTTTAAAAAACGAACAAATTCATTATTACCGGTAGTGTCAAAACTGTTTGAAATGTTGGTACTTAAGAGACTAAAACCCATAATTGAATGAACAACAACTGAACAAATATATCCATTAAATAAAAACTTGAATGTGATATAAATATTTTTTTATGTAAGGTCTAAATGGAAATATTTAGAGAAGGCCTACGTTCAACAAGAACAAATCAGGACTGATGATGATGATGATAATAAAGGTCAAGTGAGAAAGAGAGTTGAGTTCGCAAAATATGAGGATGTTCAGAGTTCTGCAACTAAGATCCAAATTAAAAAGAAAACAATGTTATTAGCGGCTTTATCGATTTAATTCGATCCTTTTTCAACAATATCATCCTTTGTGTTTATATACTGTTACGATAAATAAAATATAAATAATGAATATATTATGACGTGTAAAAACTGTAAATACATTATGACTAATCACGTATTTTCTAGATCACGAACCGGCCGAGACGCAGGTAAAAAACGTACCTGAAACTATGGGTCCCCCTTCGATATGAAAGCGGTCAACTACTACTCGATCTTTCTGGAAACAGGTTCGAGACTATTCAGGTCAACTTTCGTCTACTTCACGCCAGATCCTTCCAGATAACGGCGTTTCAAATAAATAACGGCGATTCTCATTGAGGACAGTCAGTCAACAAGAAGCTCGCGATATCGGTTTAAAATTGTTCGAACGCAAATAAATTATTTGTAATTATTAAGTGTAAAATAAATTAGTATAAAATAAAGACTTTTGATAAATTATCGTGAGTTTTAATAAATTAGAATAAAGACAGTAAATTAGAATAAAGACAATAAATTAGAATAAAGACAATAAATTAGGACTAATAAAAATATTACAATACCATAATTTTGACTAAATACTTTCTGTTTCATTAAGAAAACGTGTGAGCAATCGTTCTAAAATTGATTTTGAAGAGGTGACAAACTTACACAGGAGGAGATTATAGGCATATCTGTGGTATAAGTGACCCATGAATTATATCCAATATGCTTAGCTTTAAATATTTCAAAAATTGGTACTATTGATGAAATGATGATTTTTCTTTGGATCTACCAACATTATATTTTTGTAATTTGCTATTTTAATAGGAGAATCAATATACTCATATTTTTCGCGTGAAAATTCCATACCTGTACCACGTGGGGTTCTTTGGACTTTTTAAGAAACCTTTTTTTATGTTTATTTCATTCTACTTTCTGAATTTATCTCTATGAAAAGTTCATTATTCTGTAAGATTTAGGCCTTTTCATAAAGCGTTGACTAATAATTAATCCATCATCGGACACCATTCTACTACGATTCCATTCGTACGAGAAATTCATGGACTGGTAATTAATCCTTTACCATTCTCCATTCCACATCCAATGGACTATAAAAACAATTGTTTTATAGAGTCATCAAGCTCCACCATCTAATGTATAATTAGGAGACTTGACACCTACAATATCGTCAACTTTTATCCTGCAGCCCCACATCGAAAACAGCATCTGGCAGCTGTACACTCGCAATGTACAATGAAACGATTTTTTTCTAACATTAAGACTTTCAGAATTTAATCAGTTAATTTTTGTTTTATCTTTCATTTTTTAACCTTCAGCCGTCTTGACAAGTAGAGACAAGTCTGGCAAATTTATTAAATCCAACTTTGTGGTGGTAAGGAGAAGATACTTTAGCTAAGATTGACCTCCTCACGATCCAAAGTCAATCGTTAATGTCAAAACGGTACATCCCACGTGATTAGCACCTTACAACCTAAGCAGAGGTACTTCAAAAAAATGGACCAAAACACAGCGTCCAAAACAGTGTGTTCAAACGAAGATTTGACCCCCCAGAAACTCATAAACAAAAATTTCTTCAAAATAAAAGAAAACACGTCAATTTGTATTGGGCGGGGGACGAATTTTAATGCAAAATTCATACCCTCAAAAGTAACCCCTATTGCCTCGCATCAACTCCAGGCTTTTTTTAAATAGCAAGTGTGGTCGAGTGGTACATCGTTTGAAAGACATGTTTTTCTCTCTACACGACACGACATTTTTTTTATTTACGGAATAATAATAATGAAGATAATTTTGGAATTAACTAATTAATTGGTTGATCATCAGTAATTACAAAAAACATAAAATTTCATCAAATTAACCAATTAAATGTTCGAAATGACCTCCTGTGACCTCCATACAATAATACAGTCTATTTTCAAAGCCTCTTAGTACATTTGCAAATACCTTCGGTGTCAATAATTCGGTCACAATTCTTTGTCACAACTCTGCAAGATCTGCAGGCAGAGTGGCGTATATTTTTGATTTTAGGTATCCACAAAAAAATTCAAAGGCGAAAGATCCGGTGATCTGGCCGGCCACTGATTGGACCCCTTCTGCCAATCCAACGCCCTGGAAAACGTTGATTCAAAAATTATCTTACGCGTATATCATAATGTGAGGTGCCTCGTCCTGTTGGAAAGTCAGTTCATGCTTTAAAAGATTATTATCAGATTCCAATGTGTCAGTGATCGGCGGATCAATAACGTCTTCTAACAAAATTTAACCCAAACGTCGACTTTACACATGGAAAGCCCCCGCTGACTCACCTGACAACATCATAAGGAATCAGATAGATTTTATAGCAGTACCAACAAGATATAAAAACATGATAAAATCATCAAAAACGTACCCTGGTGCCGATTTCCTACGGACCACAATCTGTTGGTATGCAGAATGGTCATGAGAGTAAAACGGCTCGAGAAAAGATCAAATTTAAACACAATTGATTACACTAACCCAGAAACCGAAATAAAAGTACGAGAACAACTAGGAAAGAAAATAAAGGACATTAACGAGAACACGTCGGACATAATAGAGAGATGGGATAAATCGAGGGAAGCAATCCAAACAACATGCGCGACTCTATTAAAGCCTGACAAACAGAAGAAGAAAGAATGGATGTCTGATGAGATTCAAGAATAAAAATGCAGAAAAATACCAGCAGATCCACAAAATCATAAGAACGAAAATTCGAGAAGCCAAAGAAAAATGGTTTTCCAACGAATGCAGGGAAATAGAACAATACGAACGGAAATACGACAGTTACAATATGCACAAAAAAAATAAAATCAATGACAAACAAGAGGAAATTCAATAAGTCACCCAACAGCATAAAAGATAGCGATGGAAATCATATCTCGGAGCCATCAACGATCTTAGAAACATGGAAATCATACATAGAAAAATTATTTGCATCTGACAGGACTGATGATCACCTATATGGTGAAGGAGAAACAGGACCTTCAATCCTTAAATCGGAGATAGAAGATGCCATTGCAGCACTAAAAAAGCAATAAGTCAGCATGTCCGGATAATGTACCCAGCGAAATATATAAGATCCTATGTAAATCAGATAAACAGTTCCTTGATAATCTAGTTGTACTTTAACAACATATTATGTATAATAGCGGTAAAATCCCGGAGAACTGGCTGCAGTCAACATTTCATTTCAGTCAAAGAAATCAAAGTTCGAATAGAGAAAGCACGTACAAACCTCAATAAAATGAGAAAGGTACTTTGTGCAAGAGAACTAAAATTGGACTTGAGAGTTAGGCTGGCAAGGTGTTATATTTTCTCGACTCTGCTTTGTGGGATGGAAGCATAGACACTTAACGCATCGATTGCTAAAAAGTTTAGAGGCATTTAAAATATGGATGTATAGAAGAATCCTGAAGATATCATGGACCGAGCATGTAATAAACAACGAAGTATTGTTCTGAAGCTATTTTCTTGTGGCATTTTAAATTAAATACTATTTAACTGGGAATAAGCCACAATTAAAGATAAAAATACGTTTATTGACGTTTCAATTTCCACACTTCGGAAATCGTTCTCAAAATACAAACAGTAAATTAAACAAAATTTGTTTATAATACAATTTATATATATATATATATATATATATATATATATATATATATATATTATATATATATATAACGAATATTACAATTTATAATACCTGGGGCATGTTATGCGTAATGAGAGATACAACTACTTCAATTGATTATACAAGGGAAAATCCAGGACAAGAGAAGTGTAGGAAGAAGAAGAATCTCATGGTTGCGTAACGTGAGGGAATGGTACGGATGCACATCAATTGAACTATTCAGAGCAGCAGCATCTATGATCAGAATAGCCATGATGATTGCCAACCTCCGTCGCGGAGATGGCACGTGAAGAAAAGAAGAACTGCTTCCTTTCGTACTCGACGGTTTACTCGTGCTTTGTGTTGTTAACATCACCTGTAGCTTCAAACTACTTATCAGTTAAATATTTAATGTATTGGTGACTAAATTTTTTTTCTGGGTGGTTCGTATTTTAATTTGGTAAAATTTTATGCTTTTCTTATTATTACTGATATTTAACCAATAAATTAGTTAAATTCAAAATTATTTTCAAAGTTATTACGTGAACTTAAAAAAAGAGGAAGTATTGGGTACTGCTACAAGAAATCTAAAAATAATATTACCTGATGATTAATTTATTGTTTCTGATCGGAATAAAAAACACGTAATAGTTAAATTGAATTATAGATCATTAAAAATGGTGAAGAATATGGTCTAGGATTAGATATTAGGAAGTTATTTTTCATAATTTCAATATATAAAAGGCGACATATACCATTGGGACCTTGGATGTTTACCTTCGTGATGAGAATATATAATATATAGTCTATCTAGCGACATTGTCTCCCAAATGAAGATAAAATAGTTATTACATAATTAATAAAAGGGAACAATTCCAGTAATTGGTTTTGTACCATAAATTAAAAAACTTACAGTGAAGTAAAAAGCTCTAGTGTAAAACCACCCCTAAGGTTTTAGCGTATAGTGGCATGATATAGAAAATAATACTTTGGCTATTCCCTACCTTCTCTTTCTTCTTCAGCCTCAAGTAATCCAACTTTGGACATAGACCTCTCCCAAATCAATCCAGTGTCTTCTATTGCTTCCAGTTGTTTCCTCTAATCTTCTTAAAATCATCCGCTCATC